GGGTTGTTTTAAGAGCGATGAGGGATGGGGGGATGAACTTTTCAGACAAAAGGAAGTTTCTTAAAATGCTTTATGCAAAAGATGTACTTTTGGAATTTTTCAACTTTCTCAGCTTTACTTAGGTATTTTTGAAATTATTCAACTTTCGGTTCTATTCATATAAAATTCGCGAAATTTTCAACTCGCGAAATCACTGATATATTTATTTTTGCAAAAATTACAGCCCGCGAAAATAAGGGCCTTTACAGTAATCCAAAAGGTCTATCTATGTAATATCTATGTACAGTAATCCAAAAGGTCTATCTATGGGACGCTAAAGTGTTTGCACCTTCCAATTTTAAAACTACTACTAGTAACTTTTATTCAAACTGGTGAAATTATTTCAAACTCCATTACTTCTTGTTGCTCGGATTTGGGCTCTGACACCCAGGTGCTACTATACACAGTTCTAGAGAATGTAAAGGATTCCGCTGATAGAATTTCTACTTGTCATGCTCTTTTAGATAAAGGCAGCCAGGCTCCTTTAATAACATGGGATTGCTTAGAAAGATTTGAGTTTGTCAAAAAAGAAAACAAAAGTGATAATTTCATGTTTAGGTGTATCAAACACTTGTACAAATGGTGTTTCTCAAAATAAGGTTTACTCCTCATTTTTCGTCAAATCCTTCAAATCCTTCCTTTGATACTTCTGTCTACATTATCAAGAAAATAGTGGTTCAGCTTCTGCACGTTAATTTGGATCCTTCTTGTTAAGAGCACTTCACTGATCTTACCGTAGCCGATCCAACTTTTTACAAGACTGGTAGCATTGATATTCTTCTTGATGCAGATATAGCACTTCCAGTGCTTAAAGATCAGACACTTTTCTTGGGAAACAGAAAGCTCTTTGCTGTTCAGTCTCAATTAGGATAACTAATTGCAGGTATGGTTCCCTAATGTGAGAAAAATTCAATTGTTGAGATTAATAACATTCAAGTAGTTAAAAAAAATTGTTAAAAAAATTTTTGGAAACTAAACAAGGCACCTGCTGTAAGCTCCTCAAGTCGTTATGAAAAAGTTTGTGAAGAGCACTTTAAATCTAAGCATTCTAGAGATATTGATCGAAGATATGTCGTGAGCTTGCCCTTCCATGCCTCACCTTCTCAACTCGGTGATTCCAAGACAGCTGTCCTCTGCAGATTGTAATACTTGGAGAATTCCTTATCTTCCAACAGTAAAAAATACGAACAATATAGAGACTTTATGCGTCAATATCTATCATTAGGACATGGGAAATGATTCCACAATCTGAGTCTACGAAAACAAATGCATACTTACCTTCCTCATTTTACTGTTCTTCATGATTCAAGCACTATGACAAGGTTGAGAGTTGTCTTCTATGGTTCTCCCAAGTCATCATCTGGACAATCTTTGAATGATCTAATGATAGGCCCGTGAATACAGGATGAGTTATTCACTATCCTTATTCATTTCAGAAATTTTCAAATTGTGGTGAGTACCCATTTAGAAAAATTGTTTAGACAAGTCAAGGTTAATTCTGAAGATACTGAGTTGCAAAGAGTTCTTTAGAGAGACAATCCTGAAGAGCCAGTTAGAGAATACAGATTACTCACAGTCACTTATGGCACAGCATCAGTATCATTCTTGTCCACAAGAGCTATGCAGTAATTGGCTTTGGAGGAGAAAAAAAAAATTCCTTTGGCTTCACATGCTACCCTTAACGATTTCTTTGTTGATGATCTTCTGAGTGGAGCTTCATCAGAGCAAGAAGCTCTAGAGCTAGTGAATGAATTAAAGAATGTGATGAAGAGAGATGGATTCAATTTTTGAAAATGGCATTCTAATGTTCCATCAGTATTTAAAGAACCATCAAGTGAGGAAGAAAAAGATCTGAAGCAAATTGATTCAGATGAAGATTAATGTCTTTGGTATTAAATATAATACAAAAGAAGACTGTTTTTATTTTGCAGTTCCACCAATGAAGACAAACTGATATTTCCAAAAAGAGAAATTCTGTCAGAAGTTTCATGTGTTTTTGATGCCTTTGGGCTTCATATCTCCTTGCATGATATTTATGAAACCCTTTCTTCAGGAACTGTGCAAAAACAAAACCTGGGATCAATCCATTCCAGAAGACATGACAAAAAGATGGATATCCTTTCGCAAAGAAACTTCCTCTAATCCAAAAATTAAAAGTACCTGGATGTGTATTGAAAACACAAAGTGTTGAACTAGAAATTCATGCATTCTGTGATGCTTCTGAAAAGGCTTATTGCAGTGTGATTTACACGAGATGTATTTCAGAAAATTCAGATACAAACATTTCTTTACTTACCTCTAAAACAAATGTTTCACCTCTGAAAACCCAAGTTCTGCCACATCTAGAATTATGTTTGGATTTATTGCTAGCAAATTTGTTGTATACAGTCTTAAGAGACTTTCCTTTACCAGTTAAATGCATCATAGCTTGGACAGATTCAATGATAATGCTTGTGTGACTATCTTCTGAACCTTATCGCTGGCAGACATTTGTCGCAAATTGAGTGTCTAAGATTCAGGCAATGGTTTCTCAAGCGAAATGGTGTCATGTTTCAGGAATCGATAATTTAGTGGACCTAGATACGAAATGTATCTTATCTTCTCAACTAACAAATTCTAATAAATAGTTCAAAGGTCCTGACTGGTTCAGCAAACCTATAGATGAAACAGAAAACTTTCCATTTCTACAGAGCCATTCTCTCTTCCTAAAATTGCCTTGAAAGAAGAAAAGACGTTTTTAATATTAGTGTTTTAGACGTTCAAGAATCTGCTGTTACATCAAAATATGCTTTGTGGTCCAAATTACTTCGAGTCTTGGCCTAAGATTTGTGAATAACTTTTCTCATCCTGAGAAGAAATCATAAGATTTTCAAACTACAGAAGAGCTTGAGAAACAAAAATCAAAATTCTAGAGGTGATTCAACATTCTGACCTACAGGAAGAAATTTCATATTTATTTAGATTACTCCCTTTGAAAATGAGTAGTAAGATCCTCTGCTTAAATCCATTTCTAGACAAAGAAGGTGTTTTGCGTGTCGGTTGGTCAATTAAGAAATACTAATATTCCGGAAAATGAAAAACATCTAATTCTTCTTCCTAAATTGTTCATCAACAAACTGATCATTAAACATTTTCACCTAAAATATTTACATGCTGTACCTCAGTTGTTGATGTGTCTTCTGAGGCAAAGTTTCTGAATGATATCTGCTCGATCTTCCATTAAAAAAAGTCGTGAAAAAACGCATTCTCTGCTGCAGATATGAAACCAAACTTTTCATACAAATTATGTCCGATTTACCTGTCTCACATGTTACATATGCTAGACCATTTTATCCTATTGGTGTGGACTGCACTAGATCTTTTATGATCAAACACTGAAAGGGATGTGGTCAAAGGTCTTTCAAATGCTGCATATGCATTTTTGTATGCTTTTTAACATGTGCTATCCATTTAGAAGTTATCAAAGATCTTTATTTTAATGCATTTTTAGAATCCCTGAAAAGATTCATTGCGAAAAGTAGTAGACCAGTAGAGATTTTTAGTGATTGTGGCACTAATTTTAAAGAAGCTGATAGAGAGATCCAGAACTGTTTCAACATTCTGAGGCTACTACATACGTACATATGTACGCACAGAAGCCATGAAGAATTCTCTTCAGAAATCATTTAATTAGTTTTACATTTTTTTTGGGAGAAAAGAGTTCTTTATCCTGTCCTTACGTATGTCATGCAAAAACATCGTTAAATTGCATTTGATAGCGGCGAAAATAGATATTTGCATTGAAATATGATGCCTGAAATTTTTCGCGATTACAATACCTCCTTTTAACTTCATACAAGGAAATAATTAGTGACTGGTTTTTGGTGCCATATTCAATGATACAATCTACCACATCGAACAAAAATGTGAAAAACACTGGTTATTAATCTTGCCAATAAGGTTAATGGGCAAATATTCAAACAGACTGATAATGAAAATATTCCTCTCATAGTAGAGAGGTAAAGTGAAATAAAATTAAATGCACCTTATTTCATTTTACAAAATTACCCTATATTAAAATTTTACACCTCACATGTAAAATAAATGCAATGAAACTGCTTTTTAATGTCTTATAATAAATAATTTTGCATGCTTTATATGAGTTTCTTAAACTGTGGGTCCACAAAAATTTTAGCAGTTTTGATATTTCTTTAACTTATTATATTATAATAATTTTACAATTACCAAATATTTTTACACAATGTATCTGCAAATAGATTGAGATAAAAAATACAGACAAAGAAAAAATGAAAATGTTTTGATGCATTCTTTTTATAATATAAATGTTCCTTTTACTTGCTTTCCATGTAATGCTGTCATTCCGTCTGCTACTTATTTAAAATTTCCACATTGTTCTATGTCTTAAAATTAGAAATTAAAGTTAATGACCTAAAACTGCAACAGTATATTATAGTACAAGTGAAAAAACTGACAGTTTCACTTACACATGTGTCAAATTTATGCAATGCTTATATATATATTCTAGAGTTCTACAAAATTTTTGTAAATATTATGGGGTCACAAAAAAAAAAATCTCAGTGATAAAAGGGGTCATGACCGAAAAAAATTTAAGAAGCTCTGCTTTATATTAACTAAGTTTAATGGTTTCTCAATCATCAGATTTTATTATTGCAGTTTTTATAGATTTACCAACTTCCCTTACATGTAGGAGTTTGAAAAACTAAACATTAAGAGGCATAAATCTGAAGTAAACACAAAATAAGCATTTTTAAAAAATAGTGATAATTGTCAAAGATTATATCTTTATCTAAAAAAGTATTGTAACAACTTTAAAAGAAACAGAAAAAAATATGTCCTGAAAACCTATCAAGCTTCTCCTACTTCAGATATAAATACTCAAAAAAGTTATTCAATAATAATGTTTAAATTAGTAAAACATTAAAATAAAAATAAAATCTTACATTAGTATCTCCTGTATTAGGAAGAAACTTTGCACTGAATATATTTGCTCGATGACCAGTCTGGACATATGCTAAGACCTAAAATACATTTAAACATACTAAAATAAATTAACATATTTTAAAACATTTATAACTTCACTTTAAGTGAAAAAATGTAAAACTATAGTCAAGTTAAGCTTTTCGTCATAAAAAAAGAAGTAAAGGGATTTAAATTAAGGCTTCTTTTAAATGAAATTGTCAGAAAAATAAATATTTAAAAGTAAAAGAAAAAAAAATACTGAATAATTGCCTCCATTTAATTTATAACTTTACAAACACAGAAAGACATTAATGCAGCATTGAAATATTTCACTGTTTCATGGGAGGGCTCCTGAATTATAAGAATTTTCATTTCAAATAAATGAAAAAATACAATCACCACCCTTTTTATTTATATGTAATATTCCTTAAAGAAAGTACATTTCACTATATATATATATATATATATATATATTAAAAAAAAAAAAAAACTGCACAGATTTGTATTCTTTTGAGATCAATGCTCTACAAATTTTTATTTCTGTAAATAATTTTAGTGAAATTATATACGGAATTGCAGTACAGTAAAAGACCAGAAGTCCGCAATGCTTGGGACCAGAGGCAGTGCGGATTTTTAGGATTTTGCAGATTTCAGGACAGATAAATCATAATATTTAGACTAAAAGTGCAAAATAAATAAGAACATTAATAAGTTTTCAAACATTTTTCTGTTACAGTTTTGTTTTACAAGTTTAGGGAGTTCCAGAGTAAGTTCTTTTTGTAAATTATATAGAGTCATAATCTCTTACTCTGTGACACAGTTCTGTTGCTTTAAAAAGTTTGGGTACTTTTCACCATGCTCCGAACTTTTATTAAAACATATTTTCTCACTTCTATCTGATTCACTGTCTGTGTCAATGATGGAATTATTTTTTTGCCATGTCAAGTTCAAAACAGAGCCAATAATTTCATCATCGGTCATCTGATATGTCACTGTTGGCTCATCATCCATTCAATGATACCTTCTTGCAGAGCCTCCTCATTTGTTCTTTCAAATACAGAAGCAATTCTCTTGCTTTAACCTTTGCTGCACTGACCCTAAAACCAGAAAATTCACTGTTATTTCTCTCATTTTCAATAAACAGAGAAGATGGCCATACATTACGTTAGCCATTTACTAATGTTGTTTGGGAAAGAGAATTCCATGATTCTAACATATATATAGTTTTTGGCAGTGAAATTTTTTTTTAATAATCACGAAGTGAAATAGCATGGTTTCTTTCTTGAATCTTTTTTCAGAAACTTTGTAGTGCCATTTAATACTGTGTATTAATGCCCTGGTACATGGGTTGGATAATTGATCTAGTATTAGGGGGCAAAAAAAAGAGCCACAACATTATCACATGTTAAAATGGTTACATTTGGATGCACACAGCAGTTACAGTCTAACAACAGTAAAATCTTGCAATTTAATGTTAGCCCCAGATTGTAACAATGCCTTCTAGCCCCTTCAATGAACCATTCGGTCATAAGTTGTTTTGTGAATTAGGAATTTTTATTATTCCTGTAAATCCCAGGTAAGGAATTTACTCCTTTCAGAGCTCTGGGGTTGGTGTTCTTACCAATTACCATTGGTTTACATTTGTAAGTTCCAGCTGCACTGCTGCATACTAAAATAGTAACTTTTTCTTTAGCTTCTTTCACCGCTGATGGTGTACCTTCTTCTCGTCACAGATGTCTTTCTTGGCAAATAGTCTACTACAAAAAAATCTACTCTTGCCCATAATAAAAGCCTCTTCTAGCCTAAGAATTTCGTCTGCCACCAGCATAGAAAAACCATCAATAAATTTCTTTCCAGCATCTTTAAAGTTTTCCCCCCACAGGCTTTCACTGATAATATATAATGTGGCTCAGCTAAAATTGCATATCTTCTCTATTTTTAAATCAAGCTGAATCTGTTTTCTCTTTTCTATCAGGTGTAGTCCTGAAATTGGTACCCTAATACCAGAACCATTCATACAAAACAGCAGAGAGGTTTGCAGATTTTGCCTAGTGCAAAAATTTCTGGTTTTGGATTCTGATGCCAGAATTACTGTTGCTGTAAAATTTGAACAGCTTTTCTTTATTTTCCCAATATCATATATGGTCCATGTCACAACATTGTACGATTCTGCTATAAACCGAGGAATAGCATCCTCCGTCTTTTGTAAAATGTCCACTTTTTGCACAACTGTCAATGTAACATGTTCATGTTTTTCTATGTTGCAAGCAGAACATCTTGAATGGGTTTCTTACCTGCCATTGTATTAAGAACTATTTAACAATTTCGTGAAACAGCAAAGTTTAGGAAAAACAACCACGTGAGCTGTGAACTTGAAAGAAAAATTGAGTGAAGTTCTCTGCATCTTTACCTTGATGCAGATTGAAGAGGGGAAAAAAAACTTTTACCATGACGTCAATGATTCGGTAAGTATTTCTGTTATGACGTCTTTATTTGGTAAGTACTGCTCTTTCTTCAGTATTTTGTTCTCCATGTCTCCATGTCCTGAACTTATAAAACTGAAAGTTTACACTTTGAGACTTCATGCAGATTTTCAGTGTTTGATGGTATCTTTTAAACAGTCAAAAGTCGTTAATTCGGACACCCATAATTCAGAATGATCTATAATCCGGACCTCAAAGCTAAAAACTTTCTGCGCATGCGTCGCGTTGACACATGCGCACAGGCGTTTACGCGTGCGCGTAAGACCTTTTACGACTGCACATATGAGTGTGCGCAAGTGCAGAATACGTTTTCGCGTGCGCGTTTTATGTATAACGGACGGTATAAGCTAAAATTATCTAATTATCGATTTCAGTTAATTTTGATGATTGCGTTGTTCCTTAATTTTTGAATTGGATCCGGCTAATTATTTTTTGCACACTGTAAGAGCTATACTATAAAAGTAAACTTGAACTTTCGATTATGTCAAATAGAATTTCCGATTGTGAAAGCTCCCAAAGGATCGTACAAAACGAAAGTATGTTTCAATGTTCATCAAACAAAAAGTAGAATTGCTGCAAAAAATGGATAAAGACATGAAGAATGTGACAGAGAGGTTAGTGAAAACGAAAAAATTTCGATTGACAAGTTAGTCGGTATTCTCGGCACAGCAATTAACGGGACTTGAACAGCGGAACTTTGTAACTGAACAAGAAATTATGTCTGTTTATAGAATTAAAGAGAAAGTATTATCACATAAAACGAAGCAACTTACATTGAAAGAAATGTTTAATAAAGTAAACAAATAAATATTACGCCTTTTTTTTTTTTTTTTTTTGTAAATTTTGATATTCTTTAGATCATAATTGTTCTTTATTTCATAAATTACGGTTTCATATTTTTAATTTTAGAATTTCTGCATGCCATCTTACGAGATTTAAACTGATGATCTATAATCTGGAATCGCCAAAGTCCCGACGAGTCCAGATTAACTGTATAACATAACATGAAAAGTCTAAAAAGAGTGAAACTCTGCTGCGAAAAAAAGGTTACAGGTCTATTTAACATTGACATCAATAGCTTTCTCACTAAATTGGCAAGCTATTGCAAAGCTAGTGATGGTTTTGGTGACTAATTTGTGTTACCAAAATTGAGTGAGAAATCGTTAAACGTCACCAATTTTGGCAACATTTTGGTGTGCTCCAAGAAATTTCTTGGAGGCCAAGGGGGGGGGCACTACATAAGACTGGAAAGAACATCAGGTCTCAGTCTTTCAGTTCAGAGTATCGATAGATATCTATGCGAGTTTCGCTCTTTAGATGCGCTTTTACATTGCATTGTGATTAATGTTTTTAGTAGTTTGAAATGGTAATTACTGACTGTGCTCTGTTATACCGAGAAGAGTTGTATGAGTACTTTTATGGAAAGCTCTAGAACAGTAATGTGTTTCTTTTGGAAAATAAATTTTATCAAGCTATCATCGGTTCTTTGCACATTCAATCCATCATGAGCTTGAAACAGTTTCATTACTGAAACAGATTTCAAAACTAAATGTAAAACGAAAATCAGGCATAATAACACAATCCTATTCAAAATTTATAACAATAATTAAAATTTTACCATTAAAAAATGCAAAGACCATCAGCTTTGAAAGAAACATCATTTATGGAGGATATACGAGATTCTGGAATTGCACTAATGTTTAAGATATTAAATTATAGTGCAACTAAAAAATTGTTTGAGACATGCTACTAAAGTAGATTACATAATGAGATAATATACAATAAATTTAAGAATGGGCACTGACAACAATGGATAAATCTTTAAAGATTAATTCCTAGCCATAAAATTTACAAAATTGGATAAATAAATAAAAAAATAAGATATAAAATAGCAAAAATTAATTATGCACTGAGAATTACGTAATAACTCTTTTGTGAAAAATCAAGAAATAAGAGAAACATTCGTATAATCATGCTTTTTTTTCTTATCCAATGACTGCAGAAAATCATGACTAATTATTACACAACAAACCTCTTTAAAGCAGCTTTTGCAAAATACTTTGACTGCCTAGAAAGAATCAAACAGTTAAAAAAAAAAAAAAAAAGGCAGTCTCAGTAGGCACTAGCTTATTTTAAGCCTTCGACAATAAGAAAGAGCAAAATAAATTTCAGCTTTGTGTCAGGGAAGAACTGAAGCTGTAGATATAGGATGCAAATTACAATAAGTCTGAAACTTGTCCATTTTCTCCTACATGAACACCTAGTATTTTTCACTTTCAAAACCTCAGTACTGAGCAATCATTATCTTTACTACCACCTTTATAGCTTCCAGTGGGCTATTTATTTAATTTGAGAAGATCAAACTTGATCATGCATATGTAATTTTTATTTACATGATTTATGCATTTAACAAATCATTATTTTTTTTAAATCACTTCAGGCTTCAAGAGATGATTGCTTAATCTGATATCAAAGGTTTTAATGTCTGGATATAATCAAAACTTTTTTCTATTTAAATTAATAGTAACTGCTCATTTGCTTTATATAATTTTGGTATACAAAAGATTTCACGATTATTCTAGTTATGTGAAATGGGAGGAGGATCTGCAATATCACTGCAATACAACAGATATTTCAAATGCATTAAAAGTATCAACTGAAATCAACAATAATAGGAAACACTAACCGAGTAATCATATCCATGCACTATGGATAAACGTTGATCATCAGATCCAGATAGAAGATATTTTCCATTATCATTCCAGCAAATACTATTTACCTAAACAGGATTAAAAAGAAATTAGTTCTCAACTGACATAACTATGAAAGCAAGTGATGTGCATTACATTTAAAAAACAGCAGAAAAAGTTACACTTACACATCCATTATGTACAGGTATTTTGATCTGAAGTTGTAACTTTTGCACAAATTCTTTACTATCTATAAATAGCATAAAAATAATTAATGCACTCAAAAATATCAAAAGAATTGCAAACATTATTATATCAACAAAACCACTGCTGATTCTTCAAATACTAAATGTAGTTAATGTTGATCTATTACTTGATTAATATAGCTTTGAAAATTAAAAGTAAAATTTAGCTGCATTTTTGTCATACTTTTTTCACATCCTCTAAATCAGTATTTTCTAAAGTGGAGTGTTGGACACAATTTTTTGGAAGGTCATGAAATATTATGCACAGGTATGGCTAAGGCTTTTAGCGTCTAGAGACAATCGAAAATTTCACGCTCCCTTCTGCTTATCAAAATGCAGTGCAGAACATCAAGAATTTTGGTCTACTGGAAAGTTCTGTCCATTTTATGACAACAGTTTTCAACACATAAGCACGTTTATTTGATGCATGTTCGGCTCTCTATTTTTATTGCTTAATGTATATAGATACTGATGTAGTAAATTAAAACAAAGTTGATTCAGGTTGGTCTTAAGTGTGAAGCGATAGTGTACCTATGACTACTGATAAAGTTCATTTACGCCACTGGTATTTTATATGAATTTCAAAAAGGAAGAAATACTACAGAAGCATGTAGAAATTTATTGAAAGTGTTTGGGGAAGGTACAGTTTCTGATAGGACATGCAGAAGATGGTTCAAAAAATTTGAAACAGGTGATTTCGACCTTTCTGATAAGCCACGTTCTGGGTGACCATCGTTGATTGGTGACTGTGTTGTTATGACCATGTTGGAGCAAGATCCTTTTCTGACAACATTAGAGATTGTTGAAAGGCTCAGTAAACCATTATTCAGCTCAGTAAACCATTTCAGACCATATTCGGAAGGCAGGATTGTGTGGAAATATTCAAAATGGGTGGTACATGAATTAAGTTAGAAGAATTTGGATGACTGAGTTGTCATATGCACATCTCTGCGTCCTCGGAACAAAATCGAGTCCTTCTTGAACCGGATGATAACTGGGAATGAAACATGGATTACCTACAAAAACATCGTAGAAAATGGCATATTGTGAACTCGAAAAACCTAGCCCTTCCACCTCCAAAACCAAATTTGACTCTGCATAAGAGAATGTTGTGTATGGTGGGACATTTGAGGACGAATACATTACGAACTTTTAAAACCGAAAGAAAAGCTCACTCCGGAGAAGTATTGTCAGCAACTGGATAATTTAAAGACATCAGGCCAAAAGAAGGGCTGGTGATGTTCAATAGGAAGGGCATCACACTACATCATGATAATGCCAGGCCACATGCTAAACTTGGAGACTCGTTAAAAAATTGCAGAATTAGGCTGGGAAATTCTGTCCTATCCACCATATTCACAGCATTTAGCACCCTCCGACTATCACTGGTTTTTGTCATTACAAAAGTTTTTGAAGGGCAAAAAATTCTAAAATGAAGAAGATATCAAAGAAGCACTGGTTCAATTTTTCGCATCAAAAGATACATGTTTCAAAAATGGGATATACAAATTGCCATCACGCTGGCAAGGATTCATTAATAATAATGGCAATTATATTATTTAATAAAGTTTACTGACTGTAAGAATTTTTTGTATTTTGTTTTATTCCAAAAACGGGCAGAACTTCCCGGTAGATATAATTAAGATCACACCTACAGTTATCAATTATCTAAATGTAATATACACATCATGCCCTAAAACTCCTTACCTGGCCTTTTTTTCACTACCATTATACTTTTAATTTATAATTTTAAGGCATATACTTTTAATTACTGAAATGTTTTAAATTATACAAATATTCTTGTTTAAGTTTTTTTAAACTTAAAGAAATCAATTTCGTAAAAATTACAAAATCTAAATTGTTGTCATTTTCTCCAGTCCTACTAAAATTTAGGAAAATTTTGTATTCATTGTAAAAAATAAAACACATTTTATTTTTTAATTACCAAAATGATATTATATTGAAGTGTGACTCCAATACAATAAAAACTGATCAAGACATTTGATATTAAAATCAGACATCAAACCCAGAGGCTGCAAGTATTCTGAAGTGTGAAATTGTTGGCTTTTCAGCACAACTAAGGGGGGGGGAAATCTTATCTTAGAGAATTCATATTCTAGAAAACAGTGGTAGTAGCTTGTAACACACTCATATTTATTAAACATGAAAAATATCCGTAATTTAATGAATTTTCAATGATTACCAGATTATGATTCTAAAGTAAAATTTCATGAGAATATTAATAACGTATCTTTGGATTTATAAATTAAATGAGCAAAAATTTTTTTGGCATACCAATCCAACAAAATTAAAGACACTATTAAATCATAAAGTAATATCATTAAATAAAATTTAAGAGGGGGGAAACATCAAATTACTGAAATTTATTTATTAATCGACTCTTTAATGCAAATTCAAAATGATATCAATATTTAATAATTTTGAAATTCATTTTTATCCTGCCAAATGCTTTGTGTTTTATTTTTTATGACTATAACATTTATGTATATATATACATATATAGGAGTTAGAGGAATGTATAATGTTAGATTCTGTAATTTTTATATGATGTCACACCGACTGGACACCAAATTAGATGAAAGATATGTCAGAAGTACAAGATAACTGAAGGCCAGAAAAACCAATAACATCAACAGATGAAACAAATGTGATACTTATGACAGAGAAATTTAAAAAAAAAAGACTCACGCAACATGCAAGGAAGTATCATAAGCTACAGTAATTTCACTAGTATCAATATATTTCCACAAGTTTTCTGAAAAAGAAACATTTGTGCCCAGTGGATCTCTTATCATTGATGCAATGTTATTAAAAAGAAGATTTGATGATGAAGGTGAAATCTATTTCACATATAGTCGATTCCGGTTAATAGGACCACATCGGGAAGCGATTGCTTTGGTTCTAATAAGCGACTGGTCCGATTACAGGAACATGTCCTATGTTAATTCAGAAGCCAAACAACAAAAATCAGCGTTATATTTTCAAATTTTCACAGGACTAGTTTCGATGGTTTTACCGAAACACCATTGTCAACTGCAAAAGCGCAAATGAACGAGATAGGATATAATGATTAGATAAGATAAGAAAGCCTGGACAGAAAATAAGCTAGTGGTGCCATCTGTTGATGAAACTAGAACTAAAACATAATTTCTTTAAAGGCCAAAGGCTAAGATGGATTGGAATTAAGATAGTTAACTAGAACAGAAAGATTATTTTTAATATGAAATGCCTCTATAAAATTCAGTTCTCTAATGGAAGATGTTTTTTGAATAATTTTGGCACCAGAAAAATTGAAAGTGTGATTTTCGGACCAACAATGTTGGGCAACAGAAGACCTCCTGTGTTTCCTTTTTTCTAACATATGCCTCATGTTCCTTGACGCGAAATTTTAAGGCTCTATTAGTTTGGCCAATGTAAATTAAACCACACTGGCAAGGAATCCTATAAATACCCCAGGAATTCATATCCGGAATGGGGTCCTTGAGTATGGAACTCAGAATTTTATTGATGGGAGAATAAACGACACGAAAGTTAAATTTCTGCAAAATATGTACAACTTTATAGCTAATTGTTGGAAAGAATGGAATGACAACAGAATTTTTATAATCTTCTAAAACAAGAGTGTGCCTTTTAGTGTGTTGAGATGAGAATTTTATACTTCTTGTTTAATAATGTTGGGTGAAAAGCCCCTGTCAACACCTGTTGCTTTTAAATAATTTAGTTCTTCATCAAGGGATAGTTTGGAGGAGCGAACTTGAGGAGCACGGAAAACATAAGAATAAAATTAAGTTAACTTTTGTTTAGTCGGATGACATGATTTAAAGTGTGGTGGAAGGCAAATCCATGAAGGTTTACGGTAAACCGTAGTACTGAAGTTGGCAGAATGTCGAGAAACGGAAGAGAATTGGAAGTCTCAAGTTCAAAAGTGAACTGAATACCAGGATCAATAGAATTCATTGTTGAAAGAACTTTATTTAAATCATCTTTATTACCTTCAAACAGGGTAAAAGTATTGTCTACGTAGCGGAACCATACCGGGAAGTTTAAAGTTTCAAACAATTTTGATTCATAATAATGGATGTAGATATCAGCCAGGATGGAACTGAGGGGGCTTCCCATGGCTAATCCCTCAGTGTGCTTGTAATATTTATTTTGGAAAACAAAATGTGTTTGTTTCAAACAGAGTTGATTGAGAGAAATTAGCTCATCAATTTCGATGTAAGAGAAATGAAATTTGCAAAGTCTGGTTTCTAGACATCTTAATGCACCCTCCACTGGAACACTGGTGAATAATGATTTTACATCAAAAGAAACCATGAGTAAATTTCTAGAAGAAATGTTTTTAACCTTTTTTACAAACTCTATTGAATTTTTTATGGTGTAAATGTTATTTTCTAAAAGAGTTCAAAATCTAGAAACTAAATATTATTTAGCTAAAGGATACGAGGCAGTACCTAAATTTGATACAATAGGGCTGAAAGGAATATCACTTTTAGGAATTTTGGGAAGAGCATATAATCTGGCACAATTCGCAACAGATGGGATAAGTTGCTTGAAATGATTTGTGAAGATTTGATCGCAGTTTTTATTTTTGACAGGTCCGAAGGTGAAGGATCTTTAGGGATTGGATTATACGGACCTTCGTTTAAGAGTTTAGTGACACCATCAATGTAAGTATTCTTATCCATGACAACTGTCTGGCCACCCTTGTCAGCCTTTGAAATAATATCCGGGCTAGAATGAATTTCGCGCATTGTGCACTTTCTCTCGCAGTTAGATTTGGTTTCAAAGGTTTATTATTGAATTTGACATTATCAGCGATACGATGCCTAATCATTTCTTTCTGTGAATCACGGAAAGAAAGATTCAAATTAGAAATTTAAGGAAGTGCTAGCTGAGCGTAAGTTCATTGGAATCTAATTTTTATTCCTTCATCCATGTTAAGCCAATAAAAAAAGAATATTTGCACTATTCCGCTTCAGATAAAGAGAGGTCTTTGAGCTTCTTTTATTATGCATAGAGTTACGTAAAATTAAAAAAAAAAAAAAAAAAGGAAAAAAAAAAAAAATTAGCCACCTATCCTTCACAACCTCTTGCCAGCTGGCAGATGTTTAAAAGCAAAATAGCATGAAGGAGATTCAAATTATCACAGATAATGATATTTCTCAGCAAAAGAAATCTAAGGTAATTGGAACAAAAGTTGATTTATGGCATACTTGCTTTTTCTTGAGTATGGTCTCTGTTCACAGTGTAAGGATACGAAAATTTAAAAAAAAAAAAAAAAAGTTTTATGGGAGATGTGGATAACGGATTATTCCTATTATTGGATATTTAGTTTTTAACTTTGTATTGTAATAGTTAAAAGGACTTAGTTTAAAGTTTAGTTTAGTTACAGTGTTTTAAAATAATATTACCTTTGAAAATGCCTGAATTGTCACTGTAAGAAAACCTGAATTGTTTTAGAAAATAAAGTTTTCAGGTTCGTACACATTTCTGTACATGGAAATTAAGTACTTTTTAAGGACCATTAGCGAAAAAAATTAAGGACCTAGGACCTATGAGCAAATGGGAACTGAATAAATTCAATTAAAAATATTATCTATGCCTGAATTTCACTTTTGTAATCCCTAAGTAGTATGCATTATTAGTAAACATGAATTAATTAACATAATTATTAATAAGTTTGCGAATAAAATAAACTTTTTTCAATTTATCATTATTTAAACTTACAATAGTTGGTCATATTTAAAAGAACATAAGTGACATTTACGTTTTACTAACAGTTAGCTTTATGTTGATTTTTTTTATGTCTCATTTTGTCACATACTTGGTCAGTCTAGAGGTTTAGTAAATAGCAGGTAGATTTTATGTCAAACGGCATAGGTTAAAATGAGATGTAAGATTATAATCAGCATGATTCATAACAAAAGACTGAATGTTGTCGCCACTGCTGCTTGTTTAGAGAGAGACCTGCTGATTAGAACAAACCTAAAAAAGGC